AAACATTAGACAGGGTGTTTAAGATCATACAGCTGTGCAATTCTCATAGCTGCATAGTCCAACCATCCATCAGGGCGTACATCGAGGTATTCTCTTGTCAATACCGTGGTCATATTGCGGTACTGCATTACTCATAAGCATTAGAATCTTGAGAAATTCTCAAACAAATAAAATCTGATCAGAGGAAGGAAAAGACACGAACCTGCTCCCATAAGAGAACTGCTTCACAGATATTATACTTGAACTCCAATGGTTCAAAAATCTTAAATTGTGTATTGTACTGTCATTGAAAGACAAGAATTATAAGTGGGAAAAACTTGATCACTTAAAAACCAATGAAATCTCAAAAAAAGAAACCACACAAATGTAAACATACCCAAGTGCTGTTAGTGCCTTCAGGGAACTTGAGGATCAAATTGCAGTGATCAATAATATGAGCAGAGAGTCCAAGCCCTCTGTCTCCCTGCATAAACACAATAACATTACTCTTGACCCTCAACACATGCGAGATTCCAAACTAAACTATTTCTTCCAACACGATAATGAGTTAAAGAGGAAGAACACAACAATGTTTAATAGCATTACTCATGACTAGCAAAGCATGATTCTATCATATATTATTGATTCGTTTGACATCAAGAGAAAGGAAAATCTAAACCACTGATCCAGGTGAACTTCAAAGATGTTTCACTTCTCCAGACTTGAGATTCTCATTGCACACAGACTCATCATTACAATAGAATAAAGATGAACTTCTTTATAGCAAATTCGTTACTTAATGAAGCATTTGAAACAATCCAGAATCAAAACTAGTGAGCAAGAACACATAGTATACCGAAAGTGTGGCATTAATCCAAATTCCAAAATCATGCTTAAGAAATCCAAAGAAACTGAGAGTGGAGGAAGGAAGGTAAAGAAAAGAGACAAACCACGCACTGTTGAACGCTGGACTGAAAATCTGACAAGATCTGGAGATCTTCCGGCCGAAGGATATCTACTTTACGATTATTATCTGCGAGACGAAGAATCGAAAAGTTAATCGAGCAATTGAAGTGTGAGAATGGGGAAAGAAGGGAAACGGGTAAGATGTGGAACCTGCGAAGAAGGTAGATTGGATAGTGAAGAGGAAAACGGAGAAAACAACGACGGCGCAACCGAGATGAAGAATCGGCAGTTTCCGGCCACCTTGGTGAGATCTCATTCTTCAACCATGAAAGAACGAAAGCGAAAGCAACCGAAGTAGGTGAATCGGAGAAGAAGAAGAAGAAACTGATGCCGCCGGATACTCGTTATACGACGTCGTATCGCGATCTGATCTAAAACGCCAGGAAGAAAAAAAAAAAAAAACCTCACGTGAGCTCTTCATTTTTAATTAATGAAATATTAATCTTCGATTGGTAACAGTGCGGAATGACGGAAAAAAATTAATCTACGGAATGCTTTATCTTCTACAGAATGAAAACTTGCGGAATGAAATTATTGCGCGATTGGATTAAATTTGGCGGAATGGCGAAAACCAAAAATTTATAAATAAATTTTTGCTTAAGATATTATTTAATATATCATAAAAGATTATTATAAATGTGAAATTTAAACAAAAATCATGGTAATAAAATTTTAAATATTAGAAAAGAGCAATTT